TAGTAGTAGTAGTAGTAGTAGCAGCAGCAGCAGCAGCAGCAGCAGCAGCAGTAGTAGTAATATTATTAATATTATTAATATTCTTATCATTCTTCTTTTTCTTATTATTGTCATCATCCATCATTATTATCATCATCATTATGAGTATTATTATTATTATTATTATTATTATTATTAGTGTTTTGTCAGAAAATTTGATAAAACGACTTGGCAAGAGGACGTTTTCATTTCATCCATTTAAGAACTTGTAAGTAAAGTGACATAAATAGGAAAACTATAAGAACGACCAGTTTATTTCTGATACGCTCATAATAGACCTAATCCACTATTTTCCCATTTCAGACCACGTATCATTCCCTAGAGTATCATTTCTTTGTTTATACAGTTGCGTATGAGAAGACACGTGAATATGGATACAACTTAAACAAAGAATCTTATTCTCAATAGACTGACACGTGGTCTGAAATGGGCAAAATATATTACGCCCAAGTGGATTTGGTCCATAGGACCGAAGGATTCATTGATCTGGACGTTAATTAACAATTGACCAGACACACCTACGCGACGAAGAACATTATTTCACATCAGTATTCTATTTTTTTCAGATTGCTGAATTCAAATCCTTTGGAAGTGATCGAAGAAGAAGCCTTCTTGTTCAATCAAAATTTGATATTTTTGTAAGAATCGTACTCCTTCCAGCTGATATATGCTGTGATATGAACACGATGGGAGCTGTAGAGCAAGAGAGAAGTCGTAGAGAAACACGAGGCGTAGCCGAGTGTTTCTTTGACTTCTCAAGTGCTCTACAGCTCCCATAGTGTTTACATCACAGTATATAGACACGCGCGGACGTTTTATATCACTTTTATAAAATATTTTTGAATGATTTCGCGCAAGCGTGTCTCTGTCCTCTGATATAAACACGGTAGCCAGCCAATCAGCGCGCGCGTTATATCTCAAATACTTTATTAATACATATTTAAAAAACTCATGAATAATTCATGAAGGAAACAATAGAAATCGTGACCATGAAGGAGGTTTTATATCTGATATAGATTCGTCTTCATTTGCATAAACTTTAACTTGGATTTTCTCTATCAAACTTGGTTCATTTCGTAAAGAATTCGGTACAGTATGAGAACATACATCAGGAGTTTTTTAAGCCGTTTAATAAACTCGCAGATCGTGTTTTATCGGGTCTTAGAAAACTCATTAATAATTCATGAAGAAAACACAATAGAAATCATGACCATGAAGGTGATATTATATGTGACATAGATAATTTCGTCTTCATTTGCATAAACTTAATTGGATTTTCTCTATCAAACTTGGTTCATTTCGTAAAGAAATCGGTACAGTATGAGAACAAACATCATGAGTTTTCTAAGCCGTTCAATAATCTCGCAGATCGTGTTTTATCGGGTCTAAAACCACTCGGCTGCGCCTCGTGTTTTATACCCGATAAAACACTCCTGCTCGTTTACTAAACAGTACACATACATACACTTGATTGCAAAAAGGTTGTAGTATACATTTATAAATATATCTAACGAGACGCAAGATATCAATATGCAAAACGTAAAAAAGTAACTTATTTGGTCTTATTTATCTTCTATTGTACTACAGACATCAAGTATTGCACAAAGTCAAGTTAAAAAAGTATTTTCCACAAAATGTAGTGGTTAAGCAATCATATTTAAGCATATTTTACGTTCTGCATCTCATTTGATATCTTGCATCTCATTAGGTATCTGAATAAATGTATAAATGCATACTACAACTTTTTTGCAATCAAGTGTGTATACATATATGTCATCTAAGCTTTTTGTTAGCATTATAATAATTTTTAATATTATTTTTATAATAAATTCCTTGGTCTAGGGCTGCGTTCATAACGTATGGCAGAGCGGTGCAGGTCAAATTGAGGGGGGATCGGGAAAATTTTGGTAGGAAAAAGGGGGGGATCCACGGCCAAATTATTATCAGAAAAATGGGAGGATGCACAATTTTTGGAAGAAGCTACAACTTGCTTAGGGGGATCGTATTTTTTTGCATGACTTTAAGGGGGGTATTAAGAATTATTCTGGACATTTCAACCCTCTGCCATACATCATGAACGCAGCCTAGCTGAAGTATTTCATGAGACGTATTAAAGAACACATATCAAAAAAAGTACACATATAAGGGGACATATTATACCGCTTGATCCTTTGTAAGATAAAAATAAATTCTATTGAGTATATAATTCTAATGGCGAGGAAGTAGTTCAGTTTCATCTTATTCTCCCCTAGAATGGCTATGAACCTTAGGTTTAAGACAAAAAGCTTAGTGACATAGTCCCAGCTAATAGTGGAGACAGAATCGCAGTAAATGATTCATCCAGCGATGCGACGAATGCCGCCATGAATCGAAGAATTTTAAATTTTACTAAACAAAATAAATAATATATTAAAAACGTAATGCAAATGTTTGGCAGTTTTATTCTCTTTCAGTAATCCAATTTTCCATTACTTCGTAATCCTACCTCTTATCACACTGCACATAAATTTGGTACTAGCCAAAAAATTTGTGAAAATTTTCACGGTATGTTTTAAATCAATTTGACATTTCCCCTAAAAGCAAACTTGGTTCTAAGCATATATTTTCTCAGATCAGCTGGATTTACGTGCTCAAGTTTTCTTATTGTTTTTTGGCTTGTCTTTCGTCTGTTTGTTTGTCTCTATCAGTTTGCTTTTTTGTTCATCTAGATCTGTTTTAGGTTTGTTGGCTGTTTGCTTCTATGCTTGCTTGTTTATATAGTTGTCGGTCTGTCTGTCTGTCTGTCTGTCTGTCTGTCTGTCTGT